CTAGTTCTAGGTCTTGTGTTAGTTCTAGTGATAGTGCTAGTGTAAAACTAGAACTAACAATAGACCTACAACTAGAAGCATTCGGGTTTAGCCACTCATCTCTCAAGATGGCTAAACTCGAATGATTCTAGTTCTAGGTCTAGTGATAGTTCTAGTTTTAATTGTTATTCGGTGCTAGATTATTATATATTTTTATTGATCTAAAAGCAGACCTAAAAACATTAGGTTTAAGAAATACATTTCTTAAGACGGCTAAACCCGAATGTTTCTATTTCTAGGTCTAGTGTTAGTTCTAACGCTTGTATGTTCTAGTATAAATTGCTATTCAAGATTAGATTGAATATTTTTCATTGCACTAAAACTAGACCTAGAACTAGAACCGGTCGGGTTTAGCCACACATCTCTCAAGACGGCTAAACTCGAATGTTTCTAGTTCTAGTGCTAGTGTTAGATTCTTATAAATTTTTATTGAACTAAAAGTAGAACTAACACAAGACCCAGAGGTTTTACTGTACTAAAGTAATTAATGAAGTAGGTAATAAATATTTTAATCAACAATATAGCTCATCCTTATGGTTATTATGCTTATTACAAGGATGTAATTATAGCGGAATACATCTGTAACTACAGTTCAGGGATTGCCCAGTCTTATTGAATTAGCATTTGATTATATTCATTCTGTTTCATGATTACTGTGTGTTCAACGTGCGTACCTTTGTGCAAAGAGGATTACAAATTGCAAACAGTTTGCAGTGAATATTCGATGACTTCGATTGAGTTGGAAAATAGAATTCGAATGCATTTCAGATTGGGTTAATATAGCTTGCTTACGCATTTATGTATTTTACTCATTTATTCTCAAGTAATTTATCAATTATAAATTATCTTCAACTTGTGTTATGTTACGGAAAAGTTTGTTAAATAAAGCAATTAAATTAAATGAATTAAAATGAAATAAATAAAATTAGTGGAATAATTGTACATACAGTATTTTTTTGTATCTTTTGTTAACGTTGATGGAGATAAGTGAGAGACATTTTGCGTAGAAATTATTGTAAGCATTTGTCACACCAAGGATTTACTTATAATGGTGGGACACTTAGGAATTCAAAATACGGAGGTACCTACAATAAGCCCCCGTGAATGTGTCAACTTGTCCCCTCGACTTTTGTTTTGGTAAAATTGTTTCCTTTGTTCGTTTTACAGCCTCGCGTTGGGTACGCGCAGACCATTGTCTGTGCAGAGCCATAAGCAGTTTTATACGTAGCAAGGAAAACAATAGCTGACGGTTTTCGAGCATACCTTATTATAACCCCCATTATACCATTGTTAAGGGTCGCGTTCTCAATTCCGGTTACTATTAACTAATGATTAAATCGCGACTTCTTAAATAATTTGCCACGGAACAATTTAAAGGCGATATTTTAATGTTTATGCCTATTGATGCAGTTTTCTTTTATGACGATATTTTCCACTCGTATTGTGTCCCATAAAAGTTATGTATAGAGGCTAAAATCCTGTCTTCTCCCATCTCTTTATACTTTATACCCTTCTTGAATGTGAGGCATTGGATTTTCGAAGCGGGCAAACGTTGGAAGCTTTATCTATGAATAGCCCAGAAACGAGCAGTTCAGAGGGGAAAGTCCGGATTTCAATTCTTCGATCAAATTTAGTTATAAATATTTTCCACGTTGTCGCACCCATTAACCGGAATTTGTATATTTATACACTGTAGGGATTAAATTAGGAATAGCTCGCTGACTAATTATACATATACACGACGTGAATATGAGTCAATAGAGATTGTGTGTAATTTTTTTCAGTCAAATTTGCTCACGGCTGTTATATAATTAGTATGGCATGAGTAATGAACTATTACCCGGAAAACGCTTTGTTCAAAGCAAACACATCATTTTTGTTTATTACAGATAATAAAGGCGTTTTTTTATTAAACAATTAAACTTTTAGCATATCATTAAAAAATAATAAGAATAATAATTGAAAATCCCTTGTAGTCAACAGGTAACAAATCGGCCGACACACCGTAATAAGGTAGTTACGGTAGTATTTACATGTCGGTTTCCGTTGAAAACATGAAAGGTAACCGCAAAGTGAAACCCTTTCCATGACGTACACCCGTAACGTCCTAAAACAGCAAAGGAAGCTCTTTCGCACTGGCATGAAGGTTGTTTAATTAAATGCGTTATTATAGTTGGCAGTACACAAACGGGATACTGACTACTTAGAAGGTAGTAATTCAACGAATTCCGTTTCTACTAATACTGACATCACTCAAGTATCATAAACAGCCCGCCGCCAACGGCAACAAAACATACGTAGTAAACTCGCCTACTGTCAGAGCATTTCGTTAACTCAAGTGTTGATTGCTTTGTCGAAACTTTAGTCTCGGACGAGGGACGGGGTTTTGTTTGTCGTCCACTGAACAGTGCTCTAGTTTACTAGACAGAAATAATATTGTATTCTGAACTATGAGAATTTTGTCTGTATTATATCCTCAAACAATATTAATAAAGCTATTAAATTCCAATTTAAATTAATAAAAGCAATTTCAAACAATACACACTATGCATTAGAAATTATACCATGATTAGACAGTTTTTGTAAAGTTAGTATGTGTAACAAGTAACATACCAAATTCAGTAAGATTTTTTAGAATTAAACAGCTAATTTTATGTTGTAATAAAACTTTTTGGCAAAATGGATTCTAAATTTTTTAACCAAGTTGTAAAGTACAATAAAGAAATCTCGAGTTTAAACAACATTTATTGGAGGCTATGCTCGTCTTAGGAAAGACATCGTCTACGTAGCATATGATTCTTATATTCTCCTTTTTTATCAGGTATCGTTTCTTCAATTATCTCGTCCATCACTAATTTGAATAGAACCCAGATCTATGAAACTATCACACTGACTCACTGAGTTTTAGTTCGAACATCTTATGAGTCACTCCTTTATTCCTAAAAAAGCCTGACCCGAGTACTCATTTCACTCACAAGTGCAAAAATATTCGCGTATTATATTCGTCGTTTCTGTAGCGAGATCACAACGTCACCCAACGGAAAATCACTATTTAAGATTGACAAAACACTTAAAAACTGTCTTGTCGAACTTTATGGCTTTCTCAGTTATTTGTCGGAAAACGAATAAATTATCAAAATCGGATAACAAATATAAATTTTATGGACTTAAATTGGTCACATTGTATACAATTATTTTCAACTCATTAAAATTGTTTCTAATCGATCGAAAAGCCAGTGTTAACTGTTTATTAATTTTGATATGCATTTGTGTACTCATACATGACACCTCAATTAAATGTAATGAGCGTAAAATGATTGTCAATATAACATATAACGGATTATGACATTAATTAAAACCCTGTAATTTGGTTTTGAGTAGTGATCGTTATTATATAAAGGAGGAATGAAAATCTTTGAAAATAATATTCCGTATTTTAGGTAAATATGTTGATTATAAATTGAGTACCTTTAAAAATTCTCATTAAAAAAATAATAAATAATAAAAAATCGTATAAAGCACACAATGCTCAGTCTACAGCCTGATTTTCAATGAATATCTAATGAGGCTCAATTACTGTGCGTGTCCATCGTTAACGTTCCATTCAATTCATTTTATGGGAAATTGAATACCTTATGAATAAAATTGCTTTTAATAACATGAAAGTTATAGCTCATTTTTAGCTCATATTACCCATTTAATAATGGACAAGTGAAAACAAATATTGTATACATTTACAAAATATATTTTCCGAAAAAATAGCTTACAAAAACTATTACACCAAAACTTAACAACTAAAACGAATAAACCCAGTCGCCCAAATAAGCCTTTAAAAAGTTGTGTCGAAAATGTTATAGAAACATTTGCAATAAATTGTTAACACCATATTATTAGTTCAGACTTAGAGCAATCTATGGATCAGATTTTCATAAAGACAGGAAGAGATAAAAAATTTTGCAAGATTCCTTTCCTAGACATTTCCGCTTGGTAATGATTTTACAGAATTGTTGCATTGGATACAAGGCAGAGGTACTTATGTTACAAAATAACAGTACTCCAATTGCTATCGGCAGCATAAATCGATTATTGGTGCAGCAATCACGTTTATAAAAACCAGAAAGAAGTTATTAATAGCAGGTATGAAGAAAGGAGTTTTACTAGGATCACTTTATTTAGATAATTGCTGATTAAGAGATTTAGATAACAATAGAATTAATGGATGGATTATACATAGCAGAGTACTGAGATTTATACTAAATGGCAAAATATCTACTACTTTAATATCAATCCGCAATTAGCATCTAGGAGATCTAGAAGACTTGCAACTAGAGATTTGCATGAAAGTGTGAATAAAGCCGACCTATTAGAATTGATGAGGAAATTTGGACTGTAACAAACGTTTGACTCACCTTCTAGAGTGAATGGAAAAACTAGTAGCTGTATTGATAATATATTTTGCAACCTAAGTAACAATTGTCTAAGAAACACCACGCTGCAGCTTCACATCGGTGACCACTACGGACAAATAGTGACGATAACCAACAAAGATCTAAAAAAGGAAAAAACACAAAAAATTAAAAAAAGAATTTATAACGATAAGAACACTCACTTTTTTAAAATCGTTCTGTCGACGGTGGATTGACAGCCTCTCCAGAAATCCGAAAATGCAGGTGAGTATGATGTTTTTCATAATATATTCTGTGCAGTCTTCGATGATTGTTTCCCGTTTGCCTATAAGAAAAAACGGAATACTAAATTTAAAACAATTTATATGTCTAAGGAGACTAGAAATCAAAGGGACACACTAGATCTTTTGGGTTGGCTGGCCTCTATAACTAGGTCCAGAGAATCCTATGACAAATATGCTCAATGTAAACAAAAGTACTTTGAACTTTTAGAGAGCGAAAAGAAAAAACGTTACGTGAGAAACATTTTAACGGCCGATAATAAACAAAAAAAAGATGTGGGAGGTTATTAATAAGGAACGATCCTATCATCATGCACAAAAAGAAGTAGGAACGAATTTAACTGCGCAAAACTTTAGTAACTACTACGCTAAAGAAGTTGAAAAACTGGTAAAGGACTTAAATCCGGCAACGACGATTTCCAACGTTTATGTAAAGAATACAGCAAGAATTTTTTCTAAAAGTCTTTACTTTAACCCTTGTACCAAAGACGAGATAATAAATATAATTAATCATTTAAAAACCAAAAAGGGCGAAGATGTTTATGGACATTCAACAGATATTGTAAAGAAAGTTGCGAAAGAAATCTCTGAACCGCTTTGTATGGCTTTAAACAAATGTATTGAAGACGGAGTTTTTCCCGAAAGAAAACATACCAGGATCTTACCAATCTACAAAAAAGGAGATTGCTCATATTACAGACCGATTGCCCTCCTTCCAGTGTTTTCAAAAATCTTCGAAGAACTAATAACATATTTGACGATAGCCAACATGGTTACAGGACCGGAAGATCGACGATCACAGCTGTTATCCGAATGATACGCGATGTCACGAAAGCTCATGACAATGGAGAAAGCGTGGAAATGACCTGTTGCGACCTCACCAAAGCTTTTACAACACTAGATACTCTTGTTTCAAGATAATTGACATACTTCGACGAAGAATTCGTTTTCTTGAGAATCAAGAATATTTGTATACTTGCTTTGAAAATATGTCGCTTTTCTTCACTCAACAAAATGATCTTCTTGTGGATATATAAGAATATGATAAGCTTGAGTCAAGAGTAATAATTTTCGTTTAAGAATATATTTCTCTCTGTGCAGTTATTTCTTTGTTTTTCATATGCAATTTAATATGTAATTTATAGATAAGTTTGTTGGCGACTTAATTTATGTACTTTAAATCAATAAAAAAATTTGTTCATGTATTGTATTTTCTTACTACTAAGTCTTAATGTCCAATAAAATGGACATAATGTTTTTCTTTAACTAAGAGAAAAAAAATAGGCTAAAAAAATGTAAATATGTATTTTTCATACTTCGTTTTTGATGCCCAATTTATCATATCTAGCACCACTCTGGCTGGGGTTTGAAAAGAATAAATCAACAAATACCGTTATCCTGCTATTTCTATTTTTACCAGTAATGAATAAATTCCTGCCTTTTTTATATTGGGTCTATTGGTGAATTTTTGTTTGTATTTGGAGAAACAATCCCGTGTATGTGTATAATCACCATATATTGAATTCCGATTCAAAACGCACGCTTTGTGTCTATATAGTTTTGTTAAATTTCTCTTATTGTCAGAAATGAAAATAATGTATTGCCTCGAATGCCCTTTAGCACGTGAGCCTTCTAGTTTTAGTTAAATATTTTATAGAAGTTTTAACGAAGCCCCAACTTTAGCCATGCCAACCTGTTTCAAGTCTAATCATACATAAATGTACGATGTACAGTGTGTTAATTAATTATCGTACCTGACGTCATCATTATGACCAACATATGTAACCAACATCGCAAATCGCACATTGCAATACCACCACTGTGATATTGGTTGCATACTGGCAATGTCCATAATATAGTAATAAAAAAAAATTATAAATACTTTGGATAATTCGTTTTTCATTGAAATTATTTGCACAAATTCCTGTATAAGTCCGAAAATGAAAAATACTTCTTCGTACTATGTAGATGGGCTCAAAGCCACAGCAGGAGTGCAGTTGTATTAACTACCAGAAATGATTTATTCATTTCGGTAAATTCACTTTCTGACAGATACTGTAAAAAATCGTGCAAGTACGTGACTTCCACACAATGCTTTGTGAATCCCGCCCGCAAACAAATTAGGTTTCCCGCCGGCGGTTATTAAACCTCGCCTGAATTACATGGAATTAAGGGTGGGGCCGAGCCGGAGCGCAGCTGGATTTGCTCTTTTCGCGCCCGCATACACCCTGACCGTTTTGTTTACCTACTTCATCTCCTACAGAAGAGGCACACACTCGCAACATTTCAATGCTTCATCATTTGACCAAAAAAGAAAAATAAGTATAAGATATATCCTAGTATAAGCTCAATCAATTGTCATTCAGGAACTTGAATAATTTCTTAATTAGTGTCATGAAATCTGATTAGGAATACGAAATTTTGACGAAATATTTCTTGATATTAAATTAAACCGTATATGAAACGTTTCGTTAGAGAATTTGCAATGAAGGTGAATACCCAGAATTCATGTCAACGTGAAATTTTATTCTATATCTTTGTCATTTCCGTGTGGAGTTAACTTTGTTTGGTGCAGTGTAACGAGGTTCGCGGCTTGTACAATCACGGACTCGTATTACCGGGTTGGGATGGAAAAGCGTGAAATGTGAGCCCACGGCGGGTGCGTTTTGTTGCAACCGACGATCCATAAATTCATTTCATACACCGTGTCACTCTCTGGTAAAGCAATAAAGGCCTAGGCTAGGCGGAGTTAATAGTTACCGTTGACTATTCTACGGTCAGCTCACTTCATTTATGTTAAACATAAAATGTCACACATCTAATTAAATGTTATTATTACACACTACTTTATTAAGTTAATGAATTCAATGAAACAACTGTACAATGTCCTTTTTTTAAACGTAATGAATACCTAAATAAGCCACATAATTGAAAAAGTTGAAAAGTCACGAATCTTCCGAAATTTGATGAAAAACGAATCGAAGACAAACAATTTAAAATGAAATCAAAAGTAAACATTACAGAAATAGCAATGTGGATCTTTATATTGGAAAGTTTGCACTATGACCGAAATTAAAAAAAAATATATATAGTACATTATTATATTAAACTATAAATCATTTTCGTTTTTAAAATTCTATGCATACCTACAATACGAATCGTAGTTTCATAAATAATATATCGACACGCGTCATATATGAATATTGCTAAAATTTAAAATTCCGCATTGTGTACGCAACAGTAGATTGCAGTCCCAGGATATGTTTGAACAATGAAGAAACGGATAAATCAAATGTCAAAGTGTCTGTACTCGTTGCGCGTGTTTGTTGAATGGAATATTAAATGAAACATCGATTTGTTTGCTCGTATGCTAACTAACATGAAATAAAATGTATTGACACAATATAGTTAATGCATAAATATTTAGACGATAAAGTATTTCGGATTTTTCATACATACGTATTGAACAAATAAACCGTCCATTATCGTACATTATCTATGTTGATAGTATTGGGTCAAAACTAAAATGGTTTTTTTAATTATCTGATCACCCTGTATATAACTATATTTATAATATCAAAGTACGTATTTAGATGGAAGTTTTGAATACGAATATGGATACCGGATAGTTACCAAATATCCGGCTTTGGCCGGATATTAAAAACCTATTACTTAGTACTCCACCATTCGCAGGAATTAGTATCTCTTTTAGGTGTTGGGCAGTGCAAATAATAATCAAGTTCAACCCCAATAGGACTTTTTTCATTGAATACAACTTTATTTATCATTAGCAACCTCATTGTAACAATCTCAATACGATATATAAAATCTCTTGTGCAGTTTCGTCTAGTTTTCTTGTCTTCGCTTGTAATTCGTCATCACATTCATTACTAACAGAACTGTCGCTGTTATCACTTTCGATTATTAATTAAAGTATCCTCTTTTTAATACAAAAAACCGTTTTGAAAAATCACTTTTAGTTTTTGAGAAATAAATTATTGAAATGATCGACAATTATTTCGAATGTTGCAATTTTCGTCGATTAAGTTTTAAAAAATTGTATAAAATCAATTTCTTGGAATATGAGTTTGAAGATTTCTCAAAGTGTTAATAAGTGTCCTCTTTCCAATGAACCAACCCATTTTGAAAAATACCTTTTGGTTTTTGAGAAAACAATATTTCAAGTTTTGATAAAATTTTCGATGTTGCAATTTTCATCGAGAATTTTCAAAATTCGTTATAAAATTCATTTCTTGAAGGATCCTTGTGGAAATATCACCAATTATTAATTAAAGTATTCTCTTTTTAATGCAACAAGCCGTTTTGAAAAGTCACTTTCATTTCTTGAGAAATACATTTTTGAAATGATCGACAAATTTTTCGAATTTTGCAATTTTCACCGATTAAGTTTTAAAAATTCGTATAAAATCTATTTCTTGGAATATGAGTTTGAAAATTTCCCAAAGTGTTAATAAAAGTATCCTCTTTCCAATGAACTAACCCATTTTGAAAAATAACTTTTAGTTTTTGAGAAAACAATATTTGAAGTTTTGATAAAATTTTCGATGTTGCAAATTTCATCGATAATTTTCAAAATTCGCTATAAAATTAATTTCCTGAAGAATCCTTGTGGAAATGTCACCAATTATTACTTAAAGTATCCTCTTTTTAGAGTTGCTTCGTTAGCTAAATCAGCATCAAAAAAGTAATGTAAGCTAAATTTAAGTTATAATAAAGTAATTTATTATAACCATAATGGCCGGATAGATATGCCGGATAACCGGATATCCGACTGAAGGGGATGCCGAATATCCGGTATCCGGCTTTTCCCAAAATCACTATCCATTTCATCACTAGTATACACTAAAATTATGAGTATGTTGTGTGTACGCCACTTTAGTTAATTTTAGTTGCAAATTTGTTGTTTTACAGAATAAGAAGAATTATTATTATGTTTAAAAAAGTGAATAGATGGAGTTTAATGCCATTCTTATCCACCGCATTTAATGCTTGNCGTTTTGAAAAATAACTTTTAGTTTTTGAGAAAACAATATTTGAAGTTTTGATAAAATTTTCGATGTTGCAATTTTCATCGATAATTTTCAAAATTCATTATAAAATTCATTTCTTGAGGGATCGTTGTGGAAATATCATCAATTATTAATTATAGTATCATCTTTTTAATGCAGCAAGCCGTTTTGAAAAATCACTTTCATTTCTTGAGAAATAAATTTTTGAAATGATTTACAATTTTTTCTAATTTTTAAATTTTCGCCGATTAAATTTAATAATTCGTATAAAATCGATTTTTTGGAGTGTGAGTATGAAAATTTCCCAAAATGTTAATAAAAGTGTCCTCTTTCCAATTAACCAACCCATTTTGAAAAATAACTTTTAGTTTTTGAGAATACAATATTTGAAGTTTTGAAAAAATTTTCGATGTTGCAATAGTCATCGATAATTTTCAAAATTCGCTATAAAATTAATTTCTTGAAGGATCCTTGTGGAAATATCACCAATTATTTATTATAGTATCCTCTTTTTAATGCAACAAGCCGTTTTGAAAAATCACTTTTAGTTCTTATAAATTATTGAAATAATCGAAAATTTTTTTCGAATTTTGCAATTTTCATCGATAATTTTCAAAATTCGGTATAAAATTTATTTCTTGAAGGATCCTTGTGGAAATATCACCAATTATTAATTAAAGTATCCTCCTTTTAATGCAAAAAGCCGTTTTGAAAAATCACTTTCAGTTCTTGAGAAATAATTTTTTGAAATGATCGAGAATTTTCTCGAATTTTGCAATTTTCGCCG